GACTTGATATGATTATGAGCAGTAATAAATTGTGCTCGAAACGTGGTCATCAGTTAATATTACTGTATAAGACTGTGTGATTTATCAAAATAAAATCTTATCCATAATGGAGTTATATTTTTCCACAGTGCCCAAGTTTTATACTTAGGTCTGAAATAAGTTACTTCCTTCACTTATCTGGTCAGGAAGCATCCTTCCAATCACAGCCGTAAGGAATGAAGATGTCAAAGCCAGTAGCAGCCAGCCAGAATCGGAAAGGCAAGATACGTCTCCATCAACCTGAAACCAGTTTGGAAATCTTATGCACTGCACTCAGCCAGCCAGCATAAACAACAACAAGATTCGGATTCTGTTCAACACAAATGTGAAGTCAGTCAGTCAGTTCTTCTATACGGGTCAGAAACTTGGTCAGCGTGTCACGAAAATCATTTTGAACTGGTTTCAAACACTTATCAGTAGTTGCCTTCACTGGCTCCCTACTGAAAATCAAATGCCCAGCCAAGAAGAATTAGCTACTAGAAATTTTGGGAAGAAACTAACCAAGAATGTGTCGCTCAATAAAGATGGAGGAGAAAATTGAGATGAACTGAGGACATGCTGAGCAGACCGTTGATAGACATCGCGCGCAATGCAGTTGAGTTGATAAAAAGAAACGGTAACACAGTTTTATTATCTATTACTACCACTACGGTGGCATGTGCTACCATCAAGAGACATTCATCAGCCCACAAAAATATTAAATAGTGGAGAGATGGATTTCACGTCAAAGAGAGCGAATGAACCAGAATTGTGTAAAAGCATAGGAGAGACGAAGCGAAGACAAAGAAACACAATACAAAGGAAGGGGAGAAGTAGCATACTACAGGTCTGTGCAAATGGTGTTTTCCAAATATAAAGTGTACATAATTTCCTTATATGTAAATATCAGATACCTAGTAAATATTCCGTGTCCATCCGTTCAATCTCGGATATGACGAATTCCCCATATCATGCTACTGCGAAATGGCTCGCAGACATCCTCCTACGTATCAGAAATAACCTCTAGAAGCCTAGTGTTTCTGATTCGTTTGAATTCGTCGATTCAATAAGCGATGCTAATGTATTCAGGAAGAAAATGATATCCATGGATGTTACTTCCCTTTTCACCAACAACACGATTTATAGACAAAGAGATGGAGTGGCAATGGGGTCACCATTGGGTCCTTTACTTGCAGACTGCTTTTTGGCAAGTTTGGAGAATAGTATTTTTTGGCCGACTATCGATAGTTTCCATTTGTACCAAAGATACATGGATCATACTTTCATCATATGTGACGACAAAACCGACATTGAATTGATAACTTAAGAGTTCAGCAGTTGCCATCATGCTATCCAGTTCACGTCGGAATCAGAAATGAACTTGGAATTCCATTTTTTTGGATGTTTTTCTAAAATAGGAGATCTGATGGTTCTCTTCAGAGATCGATCTACAAGAAACCAACATGGAATGGTCAGTACACAAATTTTCATAGTTGGATCCCTTTGAGAAGAAAGAGAAATCTGATCCACTCCTTATCCTCAAGAATAAGGAGGATATGTTCAAGTGATACAATCGATGGGGAACTGGAGCGACTCAGACAAGTCCTCATAGAGAATGGATATCCTCCAAGATTAATCGAGAAAAACATGAAGTTAGGGGAAAAGCCTGAAAGAACCCAGACAGAGAACGTTGTGTCCAGTCTCTTATTCTCCCTTGGTCTTAACCTCTTCACTAATCGTTCCCTGTTAAAAATTTTTTTTTGATTTTTTCTTTTCTTTTTGTAATTTTTAATCTTACTTTTAGTTTGCTTTTACTTTAATAATAATTAATTCACTATTATTACTTTCATATGTTCCTTCTATACATTTTCACAACCTCTTCACACTTATTAAATTGACCCTCAACTATCACCTTTATTCTCACTCACTAGCAATTTTAACCTTATCAAATTTCTGACTTTGTTCCGTTGAGTACCACGTAATTTAAAACTTTTAATTTTCACTTCTAAAGCCACTTTTGAGTAATTATATCAATTATGTCACCTTCCGCTATTACTCAATAATAGACCACTATATATTTTTTGGTAAGTATAAATACGACTGTACAGCCGCCTCTGAAGATGATTTCGTCGATAAAAAGAGAAAATTTTCTTCGCTGAATTTGTCTTTTATTTTCTTCAAATATTCCTGTACGAAGTCTCCAGTCTTCTTCAGTTACATTACAACGACTATCAATCTCTGACCTAATATACTATATGGTTCAGCTTGAGTTCAACGTGATCTGAAATCTGAATCAAATCAATATTAATGTATAATAATTCTATACAGTTTATGCATACAGTTAACTCTTATTTAATATGCTAATTAATAAACAGTTTGTATAAGAACAATTTTTTTTCTGTTAAGCACACTGTTTGACTATAAGTTGAATTTGTTTAACTAATAGTATTATGCAAAAAGTACACACTACTCTGGGTCATTCAATACATGTGTTAATTCATTCTGAAATAATCCCGCAATTCTTTAACATGCGGATTCGATAGAATAAACTTCTGATCGGGCACTAGTAACTAGTGTGATGTGTTTAGTCCTTTCTTTGGTGCAGACTGAATTCAGGTATTTGCAATGTGGCCACCATTCTAGGTAGCTCACCATCACTGTGCACATTGATTTGGAGGCAATCGACAGGAAGCCTTGGACCTAGGTTTCGTGCTACTTGGCACTCATCAGCAAGGCGTATCTGCAACCTTGAAGGAACTCATGTCTCTTCTGAGATTCGAACCCGCGTCACCTAGTGCTGCAGTCAGATACGTTACCACTGAGCTATTTGGCCTAGCGATTGACCTCCTGACTGATAGAATTCAGTCTGCACCAAAGAAAGGACTAGACACGTCACAATAGTTACTAGTGTCCAATCAAAAATACCTACTACAGTCCTACAGGAAGTCAATCGCGGGTCCGAATAGCTCAGCGGTAACGTCTCTGACTGCAGCACTGAGTGATGCAGGTTCGAATCTCAGAAGAGACATGAGTTCCTTCAAGGCTGCAGATACGCCTTGCTGACTTGTGAGTGCCAACTAGCACGAAACCTAGGTCCAAGGCTTCCTGTGGCCGATTGCCTCCAACTATCAAATATCATCAGAATAAAGTTCTATTCGCATACAGTAAATACACTAAAATTCAACTGAGAGAAATCTGAAAGACATTCATTCCTTCACTTATCTAACTAGGAGGCAGCGTCATTTCAACTACAGGCGACAGAACGGATGACAATGTCAAGACCAGCCAGAATCGTACAGGCAAGACAGAAGTTCATCACTCTAAAATCAGTTTGGAAATCTGTTGTGCTCAGCATAAAGAACAAGTTTCTTTCATTATAGCTTGATTCCACAGAGTAATCTGGTACAACTATGGAATTTTCAGTATGTGATATCGGTAGCCTGAATTTAGCAGGCCGACCATTGATATCAGGTGTGTGTCAGCCGGGGATCGAACCTCGGACCGTGGGCATGGTCGACGAGCGTCCTAACCGCTGTGCCGCCGACGTACCAGTATGGCTCAGAATCGTGGCCTGTCACCGGGAGCATTTCCAACAGCTGCTTTCGCTAGCTGCATACTGAAGATTAAATAGCCAGGTGGAAGGAATTAGAAACAAAGAATTCTGGGAACGAAGCAATCAAGAACCTTTGACGAAAAAAACAGCGATACACACTGAGGAAACCGCTGAGTTACATCGCACACCAGGTGAATAGGAATCAATGAGTTGGGTGTGTGCCCGATGGTAACACGTAGGAGATCCTGTGGAGAGAAGAGGAAAACGTATGGGCAATCATGGATCCAGCTAAAGAGGACTGCCGACAACCGATTGAGATTGTCATGTGCCGCTGAAGCATTTTGTTCTACTTGAAACCAAAGAGTGTTATAACTATAATACACTTACATTCTAACCATTCAACATACACAGAAAAACATAAACGCGTTAACCGTCACTTGTTGCCCGGACGTAGTTCTGAAGTACTAGGTGACAGAGAATTCATTATCAACAGTATGTTTCGCTAGGTTTGAGTCCTGTTGAAGTCTCATCAACTGTTGAAATTAAAGTACACAGCAGTGTCATGCACTGTGTTCAGTCCTAGATGTTTAGATGTAATACTAGTTATATTTTCAGTTGTGAAGCTAACTAAATACAGAGAAAGAATACTTTTACCACCTGAAAGCTTGATGCATCTAGTCTGAGAGTAAGTAGACAATAACAATGATTTAGTGATTTTATTACATATAAAACACCCATACATGGGACAACAAGAGCAACAAGTTTAACCACGGATTGATATCAGTTAGAGAACCATTGAAAACCAGAGAGTACTGGACAGTTGTTTCGTCCCACTTCGAGACTCATCGGCAGAACTCACCCAGTGGGGTTCGAACCCAGGAATCTTCAGTTAAAAGGAAAGTTCCTGGGACTATTCAGCCGCTTGAACCGGATTCAGTGACCAACCTGTGAATTCCAACTTCTACCAATTCGTGACTTTGGTGTAAACACCAGCCAGTGTCATCGGTGGTGAGTATTTGTCCTCACCCCTGACCTGGCAGTGGACCCCACTTTTTACGACTTCTCACTGGAACTCCAGTCCACTTTGCCATGTAGCCAGTCAGTCATTGGTAAGCATAAGATTAATTTTTAAGAGTTCTGTCTGTAGGGATTCGTTCTGTTTCAAGTCTGACCATGGATTGATATCACTAATTTCACATTCGATTCCCTGCTGACTCACTCATATACATCGTTTAGATGCTAGTGAGTCAGGTAAGGAGAGAAGGTTGGGTGTGAGGATAGCAACCCCACGAGGTAAAACTTCACAGCTGCTGAGACTTCAGAGGTGTTTGTTGTGTTAAACGAATGAGTTTAGGGTCATTAAAAGGCCCCTTGGAAGATTATAAACTGATAGGAAACAGGATAAGATCAGTTGAGCCTTCTTGCTTACTGTATTCATCTCAGAACAGATCATTTAAATTCACTGACGACGAAAGCTCCGCAACTAAACCAACCAGCTCAGAGAACACTATTAATTACAAATAAACTAATTCCAACCGATTTCATTAAATTACATTAATTACTAATCTTTCTTCAAAATAATAACAATAATTAGTGGTCATCGAAAATCAGAAAGCACTGGACAGCTGTTTCGTCCTGGTTTGGGACTCTTTGACAGTGCGCACCTACAACTCCACTGCTATAGATCGAAACAAGGGCCTTCTGATTAAGATTTCAAAACTGATAGAGCGCTACCCTTAATCAATCCTCTTACATCTCGACATGATGATGAATCCTGCTGGTCACAGTTTCTCAGTACAGCCTCAGAACATCCATGCAGTAGACATCTATAAGCTAGAGACTGACTGATATTTAGATTATAGGTTTAGCAAGAGTAAACAACAGACACTAAAGTCAAATGACCTTGATTCGACCAATCAGTTAGCTCAGCTAGTCATACTTGTCGATGCAAGTGTCTCCTAAACTTGCTTTTTGACTTCTCTGTGGATAATGGGTTGTTAGGGAGGGCTACAACAGGCATATGTGGAGGGATAATGACTCTGAAAAAGTATTGTCGGGCTACTGATGGTTATGCATTCAAATGCAACTACTGTTCTATGAGGAAGTCTTCAAGAGTTGGTAAGTTGTGCATAATGGTGATTTTTTAGGCACTTTCTTCTCGAAATCGAAACTCTTCCTTAGTAATATATATTGCGTCTATGCGACCAGTATCTGCTACAGTTACAGAAGTAGGGAATACATTGGTTTGATATGTCTATAACCACTTCTGTGAGAAGCTGGCGCCGTTTTTTGTAGCATATCAGCTATATACGCCCTGATTCAATCATTTTTTACAAATATTTATCATAGGAACGCTTCTTTATAAATTAAGTACCACCTTTCACCTAAAAAAATCTGATTGGCTTTTTCAAAGTCGTCTGAAGTTGGTGTCTATTCTTTACTTTTGCAATAGGTCTTTATTGGTTAGTAATTAAATCTACGTGAGAATCATTTGAAATCCCTATTAAGACCCATAATTCAATGAACAGTAATCATTGTATTCATAACAGTACTTCTTATACAATTTTTTTATTCCTTCACGTTTCCAGTGAAACACGGGGCTTCAAACTAGAGGCTAGAAGTTTCGGTAGCACTGGTGTCACTAGCCTCACGCCTAACCTTCCCTCTTTACCATTCTTATTTCTGACTTAGCGAGGTGAACGAGTACGTCAGCGGTCGGGCCTCGACCTCCGAACCACATGAGGCGTGGTTTGCAAGCATTCTACCGCTGTACCGCTGACGCCTTCGGATACAATATGGAAGTTTTATCACCTCTCAGGAAGGCTGAAATAATTGTTGAAAATAAAAATAAATAAATCAAATTCAAAATTTGCGAATGAGTTAGCGATTCGCAATGTACACAGTTCGAAAGATGAAATAGTGCTAATATGCTTCCTTTCTTTCTCGATTGCTATTCACGCTTTCAAGCAGGTTACATACTTTAATCTGAATAATTTGATTTGCTCAAACTGTGTATGATGCATATTGCTAACTTACTGGTAAAATTGAAAACTTTTATTCATATTGTCATCAGTTTGCCCAAGCATCTAGCCGAAAATCGGATGACTTGAAGTAATTCAGCTGAGTAACATCGGGTACACTGCTGATTAGCTCAACCTCAAGATGGGGAAAGGGTCATCCAGTGTTTAAATCTGGCTAACAAGCACTACTGGTTGATAACAACGTCGTGTAAGAATTTATATAAGTCAGTCGGTCTCACAGAGTATTACATATTTCGTGACAAAACACGTGTTGTGGTTTATTCTACCTTAAATTTTTGGAATTATCTTGCATACTGCTAATGTGGTTGTGATACAAAACGCTGAAACTGCCTCGAGAAATTGATGATTGAAATTTGTAGTGCTCAGAGTCTGTGATCTGCTTGATACGATAGATGACAGTATAAAAGCAAGCAAATCTGTATAAGATTTAATAGTGGGAAATATTCCCATATCATGAATTAAAAGTCCATCTGAACAAAGAATATTCTTTTCAATAATTTCTCCTCTTCAGGTTCTTACAATTATAAAATATAATATTTGTTGTCGTTACAATAATGCTCAGATACGTCTTTATGTAGAATAACAGATAAGTTATGGGGTGTCAAAGTAATTAGTAGTATTTGTGTGACAAACATGCTCTGGGCTGAAATCGATTACAAAATATTTCAGTGAACTGGGAGACAATGGTGGCGATTAGTCATAATAGATTCGTAAAATGTGGGGTAGAAAAAAAATGACGCCAACACAGCCTTCAGGCTAATATACCGTTCAAAATTATCAATAGGCAAAAGAGCTCAATTCTCCATAAGTTTGTCAAAGCAATCTCCATCAAGCGTCTGAAACCTGATTTATACATTCAGAAAGAAGCAGTTATCAGTCCTTCTTTGCCCTGGAAACTGGATACTTTTTCATCTGAATGTGAAATGCTGAAAAGTTTCCATTGTGTATGATTACTAGTGTTCGGAATAGTGTTTAATATTACGTATATATATATAATTACTGTATGCATATATTGATCGATTGATTTTTGTTTAAAAATGAACTCTGTGCAAGTATGCTAAAAATGTTTTTGTAGATACATTTAATGATTTCTTTGCCCTGTAAGCAGCTGACGAGAAGGCAACGAAATAAAAGATGGTACCACTTTATTCTGCTAAAACTGTAGTTCTTAATTCGTTCAAATTCATTAAGGGGAATAAATGTATGAAATCAAGGGAGAAAGTCGAATCACTTCAAAGGACCTGATTTCTGCTTAGGTGATTGAGCGAATCGGTGAAATCATAAATCACCTTGATATGGCTGGCTAGTAAGTACTATTGGTTGATATGACTGGTCGAGGACTACTCATCACAGTCAACCAATCAATCATTAGTAGTATATGGTGTCATACGAAAAATATGTAGAAATTTCTTTTAAAACCTTAAAGGGTCATTTACATAACTAACAGCTGAAATTATTTACTTAATTTTTTCCAAATATTTAATTTAGTGCATTATACGTCAGTACTTTTCTAATGTGTCACTCTCCTAATCATTACTATTTTACTAATATATATTTAGCATTCTCATATTGTTGTAATACGTTAGTAATAAAACACAAGGATGTGTTAAGGTGATATTTATTGTTCTTATCATATCACATAGTATACCTATGTGCATGATAAAATAAATACCTTATTTAAATAAGTCTCCTTTACTATACCATACCTATAGACATCTTTATATAACTTCGATCGATTTACTTCCATTGATCGATCGATCGATAAAACTAAATGTATTGATTATTCTTATAAATACTATTACTATTTGCACTATTTAAATGCTGCTTACTATCTATCGCATACCATTCATTACACTTTTTACAAAAAAAAGGACTAATTAGGTATCTAACTAACTAACTAACCAGCTAACTGACTAATTCTTTTATATTAGCC